TGGACTTATTTTGAGGAATTTATTTGATTATATATTTTTTATTATATGTTTTTAGTATATGTGGGGTGAACTAGCGATACACACTGTTTTTATACTTTTACGGCATGGACCTTTTTATGGCCTTGACCCCAAAAATATGGATACTTAGGTCACCCTACCAAACTGCACATACCCACTTTGTTTTGACAGCTAGCCACCCCCCCCCCCCCCCAAAAAAAAAAAAAAAAAAAAAAAAAAAAAAAAATATATATATATATATATATATACACATATACAGGCAAAGTAAATACAAATACAATAGAATTTTTTTTTTGAACAATGGCATTGGAAAATGGGTGGGATATATTATACACCAAGTGAACACTTTGTCTCTAAAGTTGATGTGTTGAAAGCAGAAAAAATCGGCAAGTGTAAAGATTTGAGACAAGGGCCAAATTGTAATGGCTAGACAGAGCAACTACAAAATTACAGTTCTTGTAGGGTGTTCCCAGAATACACAGTGCATGGCAGTTTGTTGCATATGGGGCTGCAGAGCAGACCAATCAGAGTGCCCATGCTGACCCGTGCCTTCAATAGGCACATGAGCATCAGAATTGGGCCACAAAGCAATGGAAGAAGGTGGCCCGGTCTTATGAATTCAAGAATGGTTTGAGAAAAACACAACAAATTTGAGGTGTTGATTTGGCCTTCAAATTCTTCAAATCTTAATCTAATTGAGCATCTGTGGGATGTACTGGAAAAACAAGTTAAAGGATCTGCTACTGACAGCTTGGTGCCAGATACCACAGCATATCTTCAGAGGTTGAGTGGAGAATATATTGTACGTATATGCTAGACCGTAGGAGAGGATGTTCGGAGCATCAATGAAGCATGTAAAAGGTGAGTACTGCTTGGCAATTTTTAATAGATTGGGGAACCTATTAAAAAAGAACATCAGGCTGTAGCCCAGAATATTTTACCTGTTACCTGTCAATTCAGGATTTCAATATTCCCTTATAAAAAACATATCAGTTATTTGCCATTTATTCTTTTGAATGTATATTATATTGATATTCTCATTGTAGATCCCAGTGTCATATATTTCCTATAATAATGTTGGTGGTGGCACCCATGGATTTATGTGTTTTCCTCTATTCATCTGGCTGTCTGAATTGTTGAAATTGTTTCAAAAGTGGCTCTTTCTTTTTTAAAGTTATATAATCAGACCTCCAACTCCCAAAGAAGATTGAATCTTCCAGCATGCTGACTGTGTCACAAGAGCAGAACTGCTGACAGTTGTAATATTATGCTTGCCTTCTCGTGCATTACACATTTTTTGCCATTTTCTAAAATTAAAGTGTCAAACTAATATAACACAATAGCTGCCTTTATGCCCAAGACACCTTTTGTGATGTTAATAAAAAGCTAGTATTTCGGAATAGTTATGTGGTATAGAAAAAAACCCATTCTCTCTTAATTATAGATATCCATATAGTATGACTTTAATATAGTAATTTGTAGTGAAATGTGAATTCTGTGTGGATCAGCAGTCTCTTCCTCTCGAACTACATTAAAACCAGTGAAAATGTAAAGTACCAGACTAAGCTTCAAAAGTACTTATTTAGTTGGAAACTTTATTCATCAAGTTAGTCAGGATAATGTGGAGGGAGGGTATTTATGTCTGTATATATATATATATATATATATATATATATATATATATAAAAGCAACAATCTTCTCTACTCCCTGTGTACATAAAGATATAAAGGAGTCACCAGCATGACACTCAATAAAGTCTATACCATATAAAAGATCATGCAGGTGATCCCTCAGTCTACGGGTAGTACTACAACCCACATACTGAATCGATCACAGCTGACAAGTAATGGCATATACCAAATACTTGGTTTTACAATTAATGAAGGAAGAAATGTTATCATTTTTATCAACACTGGTAGAATGGACAACTTCTCCCCGATTAATATGTGGGCACCAAGGACAACCTTTAGCTCCACACTGGAAAGTGCCTTTAAAGTGGAACCAGTGAGAAGTTTTCCTCCCACTGTGGAAAACAGACTGGAAGACAGATATCTGCTCAAAGTGGGGGCTCTACGAGAAACAGTTTTTATGCCTACAGATAGCACTTGAGAATAAACAAATAGACAGGATCATTAAAAACAAAATGGGCAGATACTTCTGGATAACATTTCTTAGTTTCCCAAATTCAGTACTGTAAGCAGTGGAGAAAACCAGGACCTTGCTGCTATGTAGAGCTCTCTTCTTATATCTTAATAAATCACAGCATGCTGTATTTTTGGCAATGCCAACAGTTCTATTTAGCATAGGTCTAGGATACCCTCTAGATTTAAATCATTGCCACTACAATGTGGCTGTGTCTCATTTACCCTGCACTCAGTTTGCAATTGAGGGTTTAATAGATGTAATGGTCTGTGTATCCCCTATTTAAGCCAGTGTTGAATGATGTCATTGTTGACTAAGCGTCGATGTTGACATGAAATGCATTTTTGTGCTAGTTTCCCTTGTTTACTATGCTGTGGATTGTCTATGTGAATTTTGATACAATAAAGGTGATTCTATGGGTGTGCAGCCACCAAAGAGCTGTAAAAGGATGTCAGGGACAAGATTGTAGACCTACACAAGGTTGGACTGGGCTACCAAACTATCAGCAAGCAGCTCGATGAGAAGGTGACAATAGTTGGTGCAATCATTCACATTCAAAATCAGCAGGTGATCAAATACTTATTTCCTTCACTGTGTGTATATATATATATATATATATATATATATATATATATATATATATATATATACACACGCACACATACACACATATATATATATATATATATATATATATATTTTTTTTTTTTTTTTTTGTTTTTTCTTTTAACACACAATTAACAAAAAAAGAGGTAACTTGAAGGTTTCTTCAAATCTGGCAAACCATCTGGAAAATCTGGCAACACCAAGCAGACCATTAAATACACAGATAAAATACACAAATGGGAGCTGTTTTGCCTGCCAAAAGATTTGTATTTCTCTCTATCCTTCCTGAGGTTTAGTCATTCTTCCCCCTAAATCAGTGACTGGACACTGAAAGGAGAAGGAGCACACCAATGAGCACACCTGTCACTCCTCTCTCTTCTCATAAATATGCTTCTTATATGGCAAGTACAGCACTTACACTGTATTAATTCTAGTCCTGCTGGATGTAAGCTTATAGCGGAACTATACACACCTTGGATCCAGCGATGTAATGCCCCAGGTCTCCTCACCCAGCTGCTGACATCTTTGGGGGGCCGGCTTCCAGGTCTCAATCACTGGCCACTATCATTGACTCGGAGGGATGATGTTACATTACATTTCGGCATTGCTGAATTTTTACGGTGAGCTGCACATGCGAAGCTCACTGTACAAGGGTGGACAAGCGGGCAAGTAACTTAAATGCAGAAGAGACAAAGCATGTCTCTTCTACATTAAAATTCCTACCTGTTCACCATTTTTTAATATTTTGACCTAAGGTTCCACTTTAAAGTTGAACTCTAAGCGAGCAGGCTAATATACCATTAAACTACATTACGTATGTGGGAAATATTTTACCTTGCAAAAGATTTTTTCATTTAGACAGTTTTATTTTCTGGGCATGTCTGGTATACAGCACAAATGAATTCTCAAACGCCACTGCAGCAGCAGCAAAGATTGGTTAGGGTCATTGGTTAAAACACACCCTTTCCTGTGGATTGGACAATGATAGAGGAGCAGCATACTGGTGAAGTAATCACTCTGCTCATTCTGTGCTCTCCTCCTGTCAGTAAATTCACAGTAAGCTGATGTTGAAATAAAGAAAGGTGCCTAAGTTAGTTTCATATATAAATGAAACATTTTAATATACAGTAGAAATGTACATCAATGTTTCAGTAAACATGTTTCACTGCTTGCAATCATGGCAACAGTGTTCAGCTTGTAGACCAGTTTTCCCAGAATCCTCATTCCTTTGCTCCTGTAGTTTTTTCACTGTCTAAAGTCAAATTATGAGCAATTGGATGCATGGAATAATACTTCCCTGGAAACATTATGTTTGTTGTTCTGGGAGTTTTATCTTCTGTATAGTTACCGCAAATCTGAGGTGCAATGTTTTATGCTAAATTACTGGGAATCATTATGTGCTTTTAGTAAAGACAGATGGCAGAAGTCAATAAAGCCCTAACAACACCTTTCTCATGGTATGGCTCTTTAAAATGGTCTAATCCAGAGTAAAAAATATCTGCCTTCAGTTTCAGTAGCTTTACTGACACATGCTGGATAAATAGGTAGTTCTTAATAGCCCCAATTTTACAAAGCAGTGCTATTGCTACATTAAATTATCTGCTCTGTGCAATGGAATTGCACAGAGTGACCCCCGGCTCTTATCTTCTTGGATCCCTGCCAGTGCTTCTGGTTCCACCTCTTTGGCAAGTGCAAGCCATGCACCCATAGGAAACTGCTGCCTATGGCGGCACTTGTGTAAGTTCAATCCCGAGCCATGCTGCCTGCACAGACAGTGAGGCTCGGCCTCACCCCCCTGCTTCCTTGTCACAAGATTTGACTGACAGCAGTGGAAGCCAATGGCTCCTGCTATTCTCAGTCTGTCCTGTGAGAGCAGGGAGCGAAGACAGAGCTGGCTCAAGTGAGGATTCAGGTAAGTATAAGGGGGGGGGATGAGGGGGTGAAATTGATGCCTAAACATTTTTTAGCCTAATCCCTAATCCAGGGAATGCATTGAGATAAAAAATGTTTACGTTTTATTACCACTGTAAGTTATAAAAGAATTTCCTCCAGTTCATAGGCAGTGAAAATGGAGCTAATTAAGACCAACTCTAGGTTAGTGTGCAGAGACAGACAGGATGCCTGTCTCTGTGGGGTTTCTTTACTAAAACTGCAGAGTGCAAAATCTGGTGCAATTGTGCTTTGTAGCCAATCAGCTTCTAACTGTAAGCTTTGACCAAAAAACCTGAAAGCTGATTGGTTTCTGTGCAGAGCTGCACAGGATTTTGCACCAGGGGCGGACTGGCCATTTGGAAACCCAGGCACTGCCCGAGGGCCCAGGGTCAGTAGGGGGCCCCATGAGATGCCCCGGTACCTTTTTCATAGACTTTTTTGAGTTTGGGCAAGGACACAGGGGCCCCATGATCCCCTATTGCCCGGGAGCCCCATGAGTTGTCAGTCCACCCCTGTTTTGCACTCTCCAGTTTTAGTATATCAACCCCTGTATGCTGTGTAGCAGGCAGGATATTTGCTACTGCTATCTCTTCCATTCCCCACCTGTTACTGGTGTCAATCACAAGGGGAGCAGACATGATGGGAACCAGTGTCTGTAAATCCCCATCAGGCTCCTCTACTCAGCTTGAAAAAGTTTTGGCTACTGCAGTGATAGAGGGAAGCTTAGTTGCACTAAAAGTCCATATGGATGCGTTGATCTCAGTGTGCCTCTGTACAAGGTGCATACTCCAGATTCATATACCTGTTTACATGAACATGTACACGGGTACATGCATTAGTCATCCGCACTGACATTTGTCCTGCGGAGAGATAATGGAATTCTAAAGAGTGTCTTAGAATTCCCTTGTGAGTCTCCTGCTCGGCACACATTTTTGCTCTTGAATGGTCTATTTCTACAGCTAGATAACAGGAGCAGCACAATTTGCATTGTAAATGATTGACCTGAAGAATATTTTTGTAAGTAAAACTGGAATTTCTCTTACACATAATTTAAAGAAAACTAACTTGAAGGGAATTTTGAACTTTTGGTGTTGACTCAACATTGGGCCATATTTTATATCACTTGTATCTTGGAGAAAGCTGAACACAATAGCATGAGCCTTTTTTTCCCAAGTATCACAATGTTTTTTGATAGATACAAGTATAAAAAGTCTGGACATGAACAATACTTGATAAATTAAGTAGTCTTAATTTCAATACTGTAATAAAGAGAACCAATTCATTTTTTCACCAGTATCACACCCACAAATAACCACAAATCTCAGGGTAGCCATCAATCTCTCAAAACAGCAGGTTTTTTGTACAAGTCATTTTTGTATGTTTTTAAAGACTTGTGTACTTGCCCAGGATCAAATATATTAAAGAATATAATAAAAGTCTTGTTTTAACTCTTCCATTTCAATGCTTTATTGATTTTTTAAAACAATGGTGCAGAAAAAAGCATAACATAACAGAAACATGTCAAACAATATACGGAGGCTCAGCCCCCCCCCCCCAAAGTGTTACATGATAAGCTATATAGTAACAGATCGAGACAGATAACACATATAATCAACAATGTGAAGTAGCCAATCCCCCTGGGTTTCCATAAAGATGAACCAGAGGGGTCCTTGGTGTAGGATATAGTATTTAGTATTTACATTGTTGGGCAAACAATGTAATAATTGTAATGGAATACACAAGTAGGCACAGTAAGTGCCATATATAAAAAATCTGAATACAAATACAGAAACCAAGTCAGTTCAAAAGCTCCGATATGAGTTGTGAATCACCAACGTCTTATAGGCAGACACATACTGTAAGTGGAGCCATGTTAAGAATTCTTAGTACATAGAGATTAGGGGAGGTGCTCAAATGGAGCCTTTTTCAACTCTTATCTGTATGTAAACAGCAAAACTATTTGGAGATAAAGATAATTGTTCACTAGCACATTTTTAAATTGGCTTTCATCTATAAATGCAGATTTCTCTACTTTGTATATAATCATAAATCATGAAATCACAAATCATCCTCAATTCATGATTATACTGAATTGGTGATTCCCTTAATTCAGTCATTATTATTGAGGCAGCTCTTTCTCTACTGTCATCTGGATACTAGTTTAAATTTAGACCCTATATCAGAGAAACCCCAATGAACCTAACATTTTATGGCCTTTCGAAGGCAGATTTGATGCTCTTACTGTGGTTATATATGGCCCCACAAATCCAGGACTAGAGCAAATATTCTTGTGGAGGAAGTGGGGGAGAGGAATCTGAAAGTAAACTTCAACATTAAATCACTATATTTTGGATGCTATTTAAAACACTCTTCAATTGTCTTGAATTAGGTTTTAATTTACATAAAAGCATGTTTTACCCCACACCACCCACCGAATACTATCACGGATGATTTCTAAAGTAATAGAGCAAGTTTTCTTTGTATAATTAACGATTATTTAGCAAAGTGAATGTTCACATACCTGCTGAATAACGTGAAGATGTGTTTACTTTGAATCCAGTCAAGCAATGGGAAATTAAAAAAGAAACAGGATGGTTGCCTTACACATGATTTGATAATTCAAACTATAAATAATGGCACCTTTTTTTGTTGGTTTGAGTGTTGTTTTTCTTTACCTCTTTTCGGTTACTTTGCAGTAAAATACAGAAGCAAGACCCCTGTGGTTTATTAATGTGCTTTTAAGAAACAAGAATGCTGAACAGGCAAACTACTCACAATTATAGGAATACAATACGAGACATACAGAGTATTATAGATACATATACAACACACATGCACACGTTACCTAGCCTTCCTAGCAAAGGAGCATTGTCTGTAAGTGATTAGGATACACTAAAACAGTTATTTAACTTGGGTTGTAGTTTGCGATTTCTGTAACAAACATGGCACAGGGCTGTACTCAAGAGATTGTTGCAGGAAATCAGGCACTCTCATAGTGTAGATTTAGCATCATCCCCAGGCAGGGGGCGGACTGACAACTCATGGGGCCCCCGGGCAATAGGGGATCATGGGGCCCCTGTGTCCTTGCCCAAACTCAAAAAAGCCTATGAAAAAGGTACCAGGGGCATCTCATGGGGCCCCCTACTGACCCCGGGCCCTCGGGCAGTGCCCGAGTTTCCAAATGGTCAGTTCGCCCCTGTCCCCAGGTGAATTTCCTTCTTTGGTCTTATGAAGTCTCCTCTGGCTTTTTGTTGTTATGGAACCCTGTCTGCTGTCTGTGCCCCAATTAGGAAGATATACCCTCTTTATTTGTCCTGTTTACCATTATTGCCAAAAATAAAAGTATATCCCAACTTTTGGGTTGTCAACAGAGCAGGAACAGAGGGGAAGTCTTCTGTTGAGGGGCACTAGTTCCAGGATTCCCTCACTTTAGAGGGATATTCTCTCACTTCCTATCATGGCTAATTGGCTATGATACATAAAGTGAAGAGAAATCTCCACATAGATGGCAAAAAAAAACAAGTGGTTATACCTTCCCTTACTCTATATAAAATTTAAAAAAAAAGTTTTTGCCTTTAGTTCTGCTTTAAGTAAATGGAGTTTCCCATAATTTACTTTGCTTAATTAATTTTTTTGCACTCCTTCAATGCATTTTCCATTTGTATAACATTTATGTTCTTTCTTAAATTCTAAAAAATGAAATCTATTACATATATATGGTGCAATTTATTGTACACTGTTCCTTCTCATTACATTGTATTCATCCCTTGTTTTTCTGGCCTTGTCCTAGCAATAAATGTGTTTGACTGTTCTCTGCTACGGTTAAGTGTGTATTGAATGACATTTGGAATACATTCGCCAGATAAATAACTGTTTGTAAAGGCTTTCCAAATATCAAAGCTAAAGGCACAAGATTAATTCTGCCTGTCCTTGTAGCGCAGTGCTTCCCGGTTTTAAAACTTCAATTTATTTTGCTCCGCAATTATTAGTGTTTGACTAGAAATAATACCAAGTTAAAGATGTTTTCTTTTTTTCTTGACTTAAATAGGGTACGCAGACGTTAATCTAACCTTAATAGACCTTTATGGGAAACTTGCTTCAGATAGGGCCACTGCAATATGTTAGGTTACAAATGGTAATAATCAAGAATATTTTAAGCACCCTATAGTTGAAGACTTAATCCATCATTAATTACATTTCTATTTGATGTTCCAGCAAATACATCCTTTAACTCACTGCGTTGCTTTTTTTTACAAATGTAACAGAAAGCTGTGATTAAAACTACAAATAATAAAGCAGTTTTAACTACACTATATAAAATTTCATTAAGACTATTGCAGGCTGAATATGAATTATTGGTCCCTATCGGTAATTTCTTATAGGTTTCTGACTGGTAAAATTAAGCTTTATGATTTTTTGAAGCAATGCATTACTTGTATTGTTCATGGCAATAATATTGTTAATTAACTTTAATACGGTTACTATTAATACTGAATGGATATTAATCTCTAATTGCTACAATATGCATATTGCCTATTAGAAATATGAATATCTAGTACCTGCAGAGGAAGAATGAAGGGTTTTATAAATAAAAGTGCTAGTTTTAGTGACAACCCACTGAAACAAAACAATTAACTTTTCTGGGCTGGACTTGTAGGGAAATATGGCCCAATGTAAGCCCTACTTCCCATTTTCACAAAAGGCATTAGTGTGTAGCGTAGCAGTAAGTGGTCTCTTTATTAAAAAAAAATTGTCTCAAGCATTTGTACATCTCATGAATAATTGCAGTTATTAGTGTAATATGTTTACTTCCTATGAGCATCAGCTCCAACTAGTGGCCATATTACAGTATTTTTCCTGAAATAACCCCTTCAGTGAAACACTACATTATGGCCACTGGTTCACATCAGACAGTGCTTCTTGAAACCAGTAAACCCAAAACAGCTGTGTGTTTTCTAAGGGCAGGACAGCTGTCAGCAACACATCCAATATCATCACACTGATTGGAGTCAAGGTTGGCTCACTCCTGGCTCCAATTAGCTCTGGGAGAGTCATTAAACTAGGGCCTCACATACTTTTTCCTCCCTGCACTGTGAATGTTCACATGTTATGTGCAATTAAACCATGGCAACATCTAATGTTTGTGTAGTATTATGTTCAGCAGACTGTGTTCTTCTATTGTTGTGACTTAGATGACGTTCAGAGCACATTTTATGCCCAATTCATGCAAAACTCCACATAATCCCAAGGGGTTCACATACTTTTTCTTGCAACTTTATGTCTGCTGTGGGGGTGGGCTTCTGTCATAAAGTGAAAGTTTACACATCATTTTTGGCACACTAACCTACAAGAGTGCTCTCCTTCAATGCTGTCTGATCCAGGCAAACACCAGGCAGGCATGGACCACCCATAATTAGTACAATGAAAAAATAATAAATGGCAAGTGATGTGTTAGGGAAACATAACAACACATGAAAAATGACCAGATATTTTTATGACTATCTGGTCATTTTTAATTTGTTGCTATGTTGCCCTAGCACACCACTTGTTATTTATTATTTTTATTATGTTTATTGCATACGTTGTTTGTTCTACTTTTTTCTGCAATTTTCTATTTTTATGTAGTAGCTAATTTTGATTTGGTTTAAGCTAGGATTTTGTGCTCTTTATGAACTATTGTAATTTGCTCCTTTTGTGATCTTTCTTTGACTTCTACCCTTTATGTCTCTTTGCACTGTGTGAGGTCATCACTAGGGGGTGTTGTTGATCAGTGGGGCTTTGGGTTTATTAGTCTGTTCACTTCAATGTTGTGTTGTCTTGAGAAAGATGGACTGAGCTTCATCAAAACATTCACAATAAAAACACTGCTCTTTTTGATCTTCTTTGTCTGCAAGACCCATGAGTGCATCTAAACCAGTTTTAGATTTATATATATGCTGATATTTTATACCAAAAGTATGATCCATGTGTATATGTGATCATTTTGCGGTGGTAGAGATGTGACATATAGAGGCTATACTGATATTTTCATTGGCTGTCACTATGTGGTCTCTGTTGGTGACTGGCTAGCTGCAGTGCCCCTACCTGCCTTTTCCTTGACGTATCATTCGGAGACCATCTTTATGCATTTTTTCATCAATATTTGTTTATTTACCATCTGATTTGGTGCAATCTACCTGACATATTTAATCCCTGAAGAAGGAAACAAAAGTTCTGAAACACGTTGGATTTGTCTGAACAGCATCACTGCTAAGTTTCTCTTGCGCTGTTTACTCATTTACCAGTTTTATATACTACAGACTGTCAGGTGTCATGCACGTTATGTATGTTTTGTATGCAATTTATGAATCATTGTACCACAAGCCAATATATTAAATCTTTTGATTCATTTTTACTGTGTCAATTTCTTGTAATAAATACTTTTGTTTCAATTTTTGTATACTTGTGGTTTTTGCCATACAAAGTCCCAGGGGAACATTTTCATTTCTTTCTTTTTTTGGTTCAAGTGCATTGGGATATTGGCAAGAGCTTTGTTTGGTGGGACTTTTTGCCATATTGTTGTATAAGCAGGGGGGTGGCAACGTTTTACACCCTGTCCATTTTAGCCTTTCCTTCTACTTTAAGAATGGACAGAAATGGCCTTTCAGGCCTCATAATCAAATGCTTACAAGGACAGACTGTTTGACTGTTAAAGTACAGGGCAGCATACATATACCCTGAATTAGGATTTACACAGTCATGTCCCCTACAAGATTCCATATTTTAGGGTCATGACTTATTTACCACCAGGTTCGCATAGATCTATGCCTATGGTAACAAGGTAAGACCAGAAAGCACCAATTTTGGTTTAGTTTTTACTTGCATTTTTGTATAGTCTTGCCCCCTCTGGGCTCCTGGTAAATCCAGCAGCTGGGAACTAAGTGCATTTAGAAGACTTTATATAGTTCAAATACCATGCATCCTATTCTCTAAAGGCACTTGATTAATGTACTCTGTAGTCTAATTGCAGCTGTGCATATAAATCAACATTATGCTTCCTGCAGTAGAGCATTCTAGTGTTAACTTTCATCCCAGTAATTATGTAATGTAGTTTGGTAACACAACTGTAAGAAAGTGGAATGGGTATGGAAGCTCTTTTTTTTAAATCATCTTTGTTAAAAAATTTTCTTTTCCATATGTATAAAAACATACATTACATTCTACACAATCAGTTTCACATACCACCCTCCAATTGTCCCAAAGAAAAAAAACAGTTAGACACATACCAAGATACAAAACACTTATTTCCAAATTTTCAACAGAACAATAATAAAGAAATTATCTAAGAATCCCAAATATGGGTGCCAGTCTAGGAGTATCCACCCATGGTGTCCCTACCTTTTCAAATTTGCTCACTCACCCCCTCCTTACGTAAGCAAATTTTTATCATATTAGCATGCCATTAACCACTTTAAACCACAATGATGGCAGAGGGGCCATCCATTTCTGGGCAATCAACTTTCTAGCCTGATAGAGACTCCGCAGTAATGCTAACTGTGTTAAGGGGGGGGCTACTTGATTTTCCATACACCCCAAAAAACAAAGTTTAGGTTCTGCCAAAAGAGTTACCCAAATACTGAGCTTATTGTATCTACCACATCTTTCCAGTATCTATATAATTTAGGGCATCTCCAGAACATGTGAAGGAAACCTCCAGATGAATCCCCACACTTTGGACTTGACACATCTCAACATCTCCCAAACAGAGACAATTTCTGTGGTGTATAAAATGCCCTATGTATTATAAAGATCTACATCAATTTTAGTGATGAGACAAGGATATTAGATCCACTGACTCTAAAATATGGTTCCACTGCTCATCTGTCAGCTCTCCCATGTCTTCTACCCATCTTGCCCTACATGGAAGATTTACCTCCATTTCCAATGCTGCTAGATGTATACTAGCACACAGCTTCTATATTAATCCTTTAGTGGAAGTATCTCTTACTCGAGTTTTTAGAAGAGGCGTATTACTCCATTCCAACCCTATCATTTTAAACTGAGCTGCCAATTAATGCCTTATCTGCAACTATTGGTAAAAGCATTTCTTCAAGAGACCAAACTCGCTTCTCAGCTCCTGAAATTTTTTTAAAACCGTAGAAAAGTATAATTGCGAGAGTTGTACAATTCCCTTCTGCTTCAATTTATTATTATTATTATTATACAGGATTTATATAGCGCCAACAGTTTGCTCAGCGCTTTACAATATAACGGGAGACAATACAGTAACAATACAGTTCAATACAAGAGGGATTTGAGGGCCCTGCTCCTTGGAGCTTACAATCTAGGAGGGAGGGGCTAGTGGTACAAAAGGTAGTAACTGTGGGGGATGTGAGTCAATTATTAAAGTTCTCTAACCCAACAAGCTCTGATAAGTTTTTATTATCCCAAATAGGGGAATACTCTATGAACCCTGTATAACAAAGCAAAAACATGTTGTCCACTACAGCTTCAATAACAAGT